CCATCGCCGCGTCGCGTTCGTGACGTGCGCGCCACACCTGCACACCGCCCTCTATTATCAACAACTGTTCACCCACAGTACTGTTCTAAGGAACTTGTTAACCTAATTCATCAGGCTTTTTTATAGTTATTTTATTGGAAATATAGAATAATGAAATAGAAAGATGCAAACTTGTGCCGCGCACACCGCCGAGCGGCAATGGCCGCGGTGTGCCGCGCCAAAGCCGCGCGATGCCGCCTCCACCACCGCGCCGTGAAATGACAACGATTGTCCTGCACAAAACAGCCAATATAACGTAACGTTCTGTAAATCATAATTCAAACAACCATGAAATGTCATCTCTACAATAGTTGCTGAATTTTTACATACCTAAAGCAACTTTTGATCCCAATTTTCTATATCAATGTTCAGTACTACGTTTTCATAGTTAAACACTATTTTGTGGATTACCTAATTTAATCGCGTAGTTCGTTAAATTGTCAGAAAAGTGGCGGTTTGGGCATCATGTATATATAGAGCGGTAGCAGGTGGTAACCATTACCCATGGAGAGCGAGACAAGGGCGCAGCAGGAGCCAACGCGAGAGGCGGCGAGGTGGTCGCGCACGTAGCGAAAGTAGATGTGCTCGAGTAGTAGCAGCAACGCCGCAAGCAGGATGCCGGCCATCAACAGCAGGAACGCTGACAGGAACTGCTCCAGTGCAAGCGGGTCTGAAGACTTGTGCTCCTGCTTGTTAGGCTTGCACGTACCCGTCATCCAATACCTGCGATTTGAACACACAACATACTGTGGGTACAAGCTAACCCCATGTCCTAAGCTACGCGACGCGACGCAATTTTACCCAACGTTAATATGTGTTTGTGATATCTGTCTCTTACATGTATTTGTGATGTCATATTTGTTATGTCATTATTAGCATATTTAATATCTGCTGCATCGTGTCGGATAGAATCGCATGGCGTCGTAGAGGACAACGGATATTCGAAAAACAACGTAAAACACACATAACACAGTGAATGTAACACCGATAAAATGCATGCACATGAATAATACCCTATCGATTAATCGATTCCCGAAAGCAAACGGTGAATGCTAAGCATAACAGCTAAGTATTTAAGCTTCCATAATGCGGCTACTTTATATATTCCCACAAACATCGCGCCTCAATAGATATCAAAGTGACTATAAGCTCGATTTAATCGAGGCTATCTCGCGGATTGAGCACAAAAACACACGATCGTTTTGATGGATCGATTAATACATCGACAACGATGAAATGTAGCAACATAAATCTGGAGAATGGTTTTGATGGTCACGCACAAACATTTATAATAACATAGTTTGATACCGACCTGCGTAATCTTTCAAGATCCCCGTTTGAACGCAAATCTAGCAATCTTTTGTTGAACATACTAAGATATTTAGAATTACGCGTGAACGCTAATCCATAGCCGGACATCGCATACCACGAACCTACTGTTAGAAGCCGGCAGTCTTCGTCCTATAAAATTATTGTATCAAATTAACTACCTCTAGGTAACATTAGAATATCAGTAATGTCCATATAAATGTACTTACTTGGGATACTAAATAGTCGAGAACTGTGCCATCGTATATAAACGCATCGAGATCTCCGGTGAGTACGCTCGTGACGCCAGCGCCTACCGTACTCCGGTTGTATCTAAATCAATAATAATATTATTAAACATAACATACAAATAATAAAATAATACAATACTAAAATATATTTTAAGGAAAGTTCTCAAAATATTGCAATACTATACTTAGTACAAAAAGTCTGTAAAACTAAACTCAAATATTCGAAAAACATGGAAACATAGTACACTGTTGGGAATGTTGTAATAAAATTTTACTTGCATTATATTTTTAATAAGCTTGGAGATGAACAGGTAATCCCATTGTGCAATATCAAAAGCCTTCTTATTAAAGAAAAGTACGTTTACTCACTGCGCCATATAGGCATGGGGTTCTGGAAAGTATTTAGCTAGAGTAGCGTCCGTGTGCGACCAAGGAACCGTGCCGAACTTGAGAGGTGGCCGCTGGGAGAGGGGCCTGGCTATCCGCGGATCGTCCAGGCCGCTCAGCTCGTGGAATTCCTCGCGAGTGATCATGAAAGCTGCTAAGTTAGCAGTGTATATGGCGAGGAACACCACCGCGAACATCGCCCACATGTTCGTCATGAACCGAGCGGTGAAACCCCGCGGCGAGTCCACATGGACAGACGCCTAGTAGTACAAACCAACTTCTTTAAAAAATCTCATACATAAATAATTTACAATAAGTTTTTAACAAATATATCGAAATCGAATCGAAAAATACGTCGTCTTCTTACCTGAAACAATACAGCCCACACAATCCAATACGTTCTGCAAAGCGAGAACCGGTTTTGAGGGATTCGTTTTGAATCGTTATTTCCAGTTGAGCAATCGAACCCGCTCGGAGAGAGCCACTCAAAAAAGAATATAGAGAATGTTGCGGCCTGTATCGCGACGGCGCCGACCAACATCCACGAGGCCGTGTCGAAGGGCTCCAGGAAAGCCGTGGGGGATATTATACCGGTTCTTTTCGCCACAACAATCGCTACGCCCGTCTCCATAAATGGTACGCTAAAGTCTACAACAGCCTCGCGGTCTGAATTTATGATTAATGACGTTAGAACCTGGAAAATAGTTATTGATGATGTCATCATTGCCATGAGATTTGATGTGTGTGTGTATATTTGAGACTCACCATGTCTGTTTTCTTATTAACGAGATCCGCAATAAGACCGTTCCATTTACCGTGGTGCAGTGTACCCCAGCGGCCGTCCTCCACCCGCACGAGCTCGTACGTGAAGCCGAGCTGCTCCGCCAACTGCTGCAGCAGGTCGATGCAGAAGCCGCTGCAGCACTGATATAAGGAGCTGTTTCTGTGCGCCGTCCCCGCTTCTATACTATATAATACCATAAACAAAAAGCAAATAAAGTTCGCATTCTTTTCCCTTACAGAATGTATGAACTTATTGATACCTTTTTTAAATGAACATCCCATTAGCATGCAAAAGAACAAGCAGAAATAAGACCCCGCATCTATCATACGTTTTACACATATCTCTATTTTATTTTGGCAAACAAACTAATCAATTTGATAATAAAAACGCGCATTTTTACTGCCCAGATTTTGGCCAACATTCTATGTACCAGTTATCTTGTAATCTCCGACTTCATAGATGTATTATACTTACCCAGCAACATCGACTTCAGGCGCAACACGACATATGACCCCCCGGTCTAGTGAACATCGTCCGCTCACGGGGTCTGGCGGCGCTAGATTTATGTATGGTGGTTCCTCCAAAAATGTTATCCTCATATGAAACTTTTCCGGTACACCTTGTGGCGGAGTGTGTAGCCCGCCAGGCCACACTATATCTTTGATTATTAACCGTTCTCGTGGATAAGAATTCCATGTTCCGATTTCTTCCCATACTAACTGCAATAAAAGTTTTTATAAAATAACACTATATTTTCCAACAGGGCCTAATAGTATTTTTTTATATCATAAGCAAACGAACAAGCCGCCACCTGACTTCGCAGAAATAGCTGAAGGGAGAAGGGTGACGTGGGGTCACCTCCTGTGTGGGAAGGTGTGAGTGATGAGATGTGAAGGGTGAGTGCGACGACAGGTGAAATGAGGCACAGTTATATTCACAACACAGTTTATTATCACTCACAGTCCACAACAAATAATAAGAAGGAGAGTACAACACTGAGAAGAAGAATACAAGTAGGAGAAAGAGAAATGCACAAATTCGGATAACAAAATAACAAGTTGCGTAATCGAAAGCGTGGTATATCGCGGGCGCTGCAGAACTCCACTCTCGTTTCGCGCGTATGCAAAACCGGTCAGTGACCCCCGCTCAGCTGTGCGTTGCAATTCGAATTTGCCAATCAGAGGTCAACAAATCGACGTGACGTCGACCACTCGTCATGCACCCGTGTTTATGTGTGCGTGTATGCGTGTGATGTATGTGCGTGTATGCGTGACTGTGTTGTGTTTATGCAAATATGTAGGAGGTCACCTACATCACCCCCCTCCAGAGACCTGGTTAAGGGCGATAAAAATCGGTGAACTTCACCTTGCGTCCTGAACGGGTTGTATAATCCTTAGCCACAGTATCGTCACTAGTTGCGAGACTGTTGTTATTGTCGCATAAAATGTACGCTGGCTTAAGACGATCAATGGACACTGTTACTTCTTTCCCGTTAATTAACAAAGTAAAAGATTTGTCGTTCCTAGAAACGACCTTATGAGGACCGGTATACGCAGGTTGCAATGATGCCCGCACCGCGTCTTCACGCAGGAAGACGTGATCGGTATTGGCGAGGTCCTTATAAACGAAAATGCTTTTGTTACCATGTCGCGAGGCTGGTATCGGGTGTAACTGTTGCGCAAAAGCTCGCAATCGAGCGATGAAGTCACTGACATCAGTTGTACCGCAACTTACAGGATCAAAAAATTCGCCTGGTAACCTAAGAGGCTCCCCGTAAAGAAGTTCAGCCGACGACGCGTTCAAGTCTTCTTTAAACGACGATCGTATCCCTAACAATACCCACGGCAAAGACTCGGTCCATTTTTGTGGCGCATGGCACATTATGGACGCTTTTAACTGCCTATGGAAACGTTCAACGAGACCGTTAGCTGCTGGGTGGTAAGCAGTTGTACGCTTGTGCTGAAATCCGGCTATTTTCGCGAGGAGCTGGAATAACGCTGACTCAAACTGTCTGCCGCGGTCTGTTACAATGTCCGTCGGGCAGCCAAAACGCGATATCCAGCACGAAAGCAACGCTTTAGCTACTGTCTCCGCTGTAATATCCGCGATCGGTATAGCTTCTGGCCACCGAGTGAAGCGATCAACGCAAGTTAAACAATATCGATACCCATCCGATAACGGCAACGGCCCTACTAGATCGATGTGTACATATTTGAATCTCGCGAGGGGCAAATTAAATGTCCCTAGCGGTGCGTTAACGTGTCGCGTAATCTTACAGCGCTGACAATCTAAACAGGTTTTTGCCCAATCACGACAGTCTTTTCTAACACTCGGCCATACGTAGCGTTCTGCGACTAACTTCGCTGTTGTATTAGCGCCTGGATGGCTCAAAGAATGTAAACAATCGAAGACCTGCCTACGGAAATATTTTGTAACAAACGGCTTAGATGTCGGTGTACTTACGTCGCAGTACAATGGGGTTCGACACCCGGGTAATGTTAATTTTTCTAGACGTAACGACGAACCTTCAGTAATTAATTTTTGAAGTTCGTGGTCCGTAGCCTGACTTTTTGCTAAGGCTTCTAAGTCTAGAGGATGCTCCAATGCTTCGACACGAGACAAAGTGTCGGCAACAACATTATCCTTACCGGAAATATGACGGATGTCCGTAGTAAATTGAGCGATATAATCTAAATGCCTATACTGTCTAGGCGAACAGTTTTTCTTCCGTTCGTGGAATGCGAAACTGATCGGCTTGTGGTCAGTATAAATGATAAAATGTCTAGCTTCTAACATGTGCCTAAAATATTTAATGGCCTCATAAATAGCTAATAATTCTCTGTCGTAGGGTGAATACTTACCCTGAGATGGACTTAATTTACGCGAAAAGAATGCAAGCGGTTGCCACGCGTTATCTGTAAATTGTTGTAATACAGCGCCGATAGCTGTGTCCGATGCGTCGGTAATAAGTGCGAGTTTCGCTTGGCAATCCGGGTGCGCTAATAATGCAGCGTTTGAAAGGGATTGTTTACAGCGCTCGAACGCATCGAGTGACTCATCTTTCAATGTTATCGGTTGGTTGTTTTTTACTATTCCAACTAATAACTTGTTTAGTGGTGCTTGCAACTCAGCCGCGCGCGGTAGGAAACGTCTGTAAAAATTGATCATTCCTAGAAAACGCCGTAGTTGACGAATGTTCGTAGGAACGGGAAAATTTTTAATCGCTTCTATCTTAGTGTCTAGCGGTTTGGTGCCACTCGCGGAAATGTGATAACCTAAAAATGACAC